CAGAAGGAAGATGACAGGAAGGTGGTAGACCAATGAGGAGGCTCCTGCAAAATCTAGACATAAGATGATGAAGGAGTGAATAGGGCTGGTGGTAGAAGGGATGTAGAGAAACAGGTGGATTTTATTTTTTATTTTTTTTTTTAAAGATTTTATTTATCTATTTGAGAGAGAGACAGAAATAGTGACAGAGCATGAGTGGGGAGGAGAGGGAGAAGCAGGCTCCCCACTGAGCAGGGAGCCCCACGTGGTGCCTGATCCCAGAACCCTGGGATCATGACCTGAGCCGAAGGCAGATGCTTAACTGACTGAGCCACCCAGGTGCCCCGAAACGGATGGATTTTAAAGTTTGGGATAAAATTGACAGTAAAAACATTAAAGTTTCAGAGAAGCATTTTGTGGCAGTTTCCCCAATATCCAGTCTCTCTTTCCTTAGTAGGTATAGGAATGTTAGCTGTGCATATGGATCCCTGGCAAAAGATTACATTTCCCAGGTTCTCTTGCAGCTAGCTGTAGCCTATGACCAAGTCCTGGCCAGTTGACTGTGGGTGGAAATGATATCAGCAATGTTCAAATTGTGCCCTCCCAAGGCATTTCCCCTTTCTTCTGGGTTCTGTGTGGAATCGACGGCAGAGGCTAGGGCAGCCATCTTGGACCATGAAACGTAAGATGCACACTGAGGATTGAGAGCAACAACATCAAGCCACACACTGACCTGCAGTTGTCTACCCAGGCTTGTTGATAAGAGAGAAACGCACTTCTAGCTTGTTTAAGCCTCCGTATTGGGGTTTGCTTCCTTACAGCTGCCTAAACTTTGGACAAACTAATACAAGTTCTGTCAGCCATTCTAAGTACAAAGCCCTGACACCAAATGCTATCAATCCCATGAAGTCAGAACTGTAGTCAACAAGGTAGGATTTAATTCCAACCTGCCTCTCCTTGTTTGCTCTTAAAATATTGGAGCAATGTTTGAGCTTCAATGCCCTGAGTCACTGCACAAGAGACTCCAGTGTAGAGTGAACTCATGCTTCATGGAAATAGTGTTGACTTAGTAACCCATTGCTTCTCTGTCAGTCAGGGGGGCCCAATTCAACATCCTGTCCGAAGCAGAGGTCTCATGAAGACACCTTATGCTGTCTACTTTGGGGGGCAGAAAACAGCATCACCAACAGACTTCTAAATCTCCGTACCACCCAGCCACCATCTCCTGATTGATCGATGAGCCAAGTGTGGGACAGACTCCCCTCATGCAAAGGAGGCAAGATCAAGTTCTAAGCCGGCACCAAATAAAAACACATACTTTAACCAAAGTCATGTCCTCGCTGTGTAAGGATCTAATGACTCACCACTGCATACAGAAGAGATGGAGCTGAAACCCGTGCCACCTCAGATGTGCGGCCAATGCTGCAGCACTGGCCACTGGACCTTTACACGTTCAGTAACCTCCAGGCACCAGATCCACGTAGGAAGGCGGTGTTCTACAGGGTCCTGCAGTTCTGAGGCCCCCTGCATGAAACGCACTGGCGCATAATCATGGTGATCTGACGTAGCACTGTTCTCACTCGTTCTTTCCCTGACTATCAAGCTCAAGAGAAAAAACTGCAGAGAAACAAGTAGAGGGGTGGTGGAAGGCAAAAATCATTGTTGGCATGTGGGTCAAAGGAGGAAGTTGATGCGCTCTGAGAGATAACAGACTCCTTCAGTGAAATGCCCCTTAAGGGGCATTATCTGGGGATAAGGGCCAAGTAGGTATAATCCCTCCAAACAGACCATTGGTAGGTATTTTTCTAGACAACGAGGGCATCAGGCTAACTGTAAAGTAGTGGCACTAATATTAATAAAGTTGAGAGCAAAGGGGTCATGACTCGATTGAGGTCATTTAAAGAGCAAATATTCATTAGAGAATTCAATAGAGAATATCATGTGTCAAAACTGTCTGCATGGTGCTCAGGGTCTAATGTGGAAGACACACCATCCAGCCCTTATAACAGGGTGCTCAGGGCCAAAAGGAAACAAACACAGAGCAATAAGACAAGGATGCGTGTGGGGGGGGGGACTCAAATCTTGTTTCAGGAGCAGGGAATAGGACAGCCCTTCCCAAGAGAGGCTATAGGTAAGTTGAGGCCAGAAATGGTTTGAAGACCCATTTGCTACCTGAATAGAATGGGGATGATACCTGCCTATGAAGATACCCCAATGAAATGGGGTTCATCATTGCCTATTTAATGTAAGTAAAATATGGCTGATATCTTGTAATACATAATCAAAGATCTGCTCTGTTGCCACAGTCAACATGAATAATAGAAGACGTCCTATACTTTACATCCCCGTACTTACTTTATAACTGGAAGTTTGCACCTCTTAATCTCCTTCACCTATTTCACCCATCCCCCCACCTTCCTCGCCTTTGGCAACAACCACACCTGAAACTAATATATTATATGTCAACTCTATGTCAATTTAAAAAAATAGTTAAAGATTAAAATTAAAAAGAATCTAGTAAACACATTCCCAGAATGTAATGCTAATTTTCATGTTCATAGCCTTGCTAGATCCTTCAAGAACTACCCTATGCCAGCCACAAACACATGAAACTCAGCCCCTGCCCTGGAGGCGCTCACAGTCTAGCAGAAAAAAATCCACCTACAGACCCGCACTCTAAGTACAGTTACCTTCCAAGCGGCCGTTCTCTTACTTCCTCAGGGATAACCTCAGTTGTTCTGTTTAACTCAGCAATTCTCCCCAGCTGGCTGATGGAAAGAGCCAACCTTCAAGCCTTCCCTGGAGACTCTCAGAGTGCTGGAGGTCAGTGGGACAGCAAGAGGGGGACGCTCCAGAGGGAAGTGAAGGGCGTCCTCAACAGCTCCCTACCCTCCTGCTCCCTCCACTGCTTCTCCCCCTGCTCTCCCCAGGGGTGAACAGGGATGCCATCAGGCTCCCTCTGCATCACCCCAGATACTCACCTCACTCCAGACCAGCATCAACTGACTTCAGGGACATACCAAAACAATCTTGAGCATTACGAAAGGGTCAGGTCCCCTAGATTTATGGACAACGTCCCATTTATACTATTTAGAAGGAAAAAAATTATATCAGGGACAAGGGAAGAGTGCTTTTAAGGAGCCATAAACCTAGGGCTAAAAAAAACATTCAAGCCCCCCCTTTATTTTTTTTTAACTGGTCACAAAGCAATAAAGTGCTGATTGATAATATGCCAGTACTTCTAAGGCAAGTATTGTCAAAACGACTAGAGTTTGTAGTGGGAGTTTATTGTTTTGCTTTCCAGCACCAATCCCTTCTTCATCTGAGGACAGGACACAGATTTGCTGTGGAGGAGCCACATCCCCTTATTCCAAACCAGTTGGAGTGGCCCTACCTTAAACTTTATCTTTAATTCCAGGGGTGAGCCCTGACTGGCTTAAATTACGGTAATTGGTTTGAGAATAGGAAGGGAATTTAATCAGAGTTGATGAGACAGAAGGACTCTTTCTCTGAGGCTTCAGAGAAAGTATCCTCCCCTCCCAAAGAAAGTGTCTTTCTATCCTTGCACAGTGTGGTGTGAGAAAAGGAGATAGGAGATTATACCAGCATTGAAGTGAAAGACTCCACTGGCTGGAGCCTGACATTGTAGAAGCAGAACAGAGCCAGAGAGAACCTGCATCCCTAGAGATGCCATCTGGACTGCTGGGTCAAGACTTGCCTGCAACAACCCTTCCTCTAGATATTTAAAGAAGGTTTTTGTTGGTTAAGCCAGTTTGAGTTGAGTTTTCTAACATTTGCTACCAAAGCAATTACAATTCATAAAACACCTTAAGTATCCCAAAGTAGTAATATACAAAGGACTTAGAGTCTCTTTGGGGGGAGCAAGGAGTAGTGCGATAAGCAGAGTGAAAGATTTTTTTTCTTAGCTTCTTCTATTAATTCTGTAGAAAATAATCCCAATACTTAGCATCTGTATAATTGTTCCTATTTCTCAAAAATACATTTTCCACATGTATTTCCTCACTTAAATTTCACAATTCTGAGTCAAAGAAATTATTAAAAATTTTTATTTTGTCGTAATTACCTATTTATCAAGCACTCTATATAGTTTAAAATACTATTTCAAGTTCAGTAATTCATTTGATTGTCATAATAACCAGATGAGGTAGGAATGGCGGTTCTGTCATAATATCCATTTTAGGCGGGAGAAAGTTGAACCTGAATATCTACCTGAAAGTAGATATTAAATGAGATGCCCAAGTTAATTTGAGAAGGTATCAGGAGACAGGCCTTAAATCCAGGTCTCTTGCTTCCAGGGTTTTAACTCCAGTAATACTAAACTCTACTCCCAGAATCTTAAGCACCACGTTCTGGATTCCAGTGGCAGGGCCAGAACTAACTAGTTGGTGACCTTGAGCTAATCCCCTTTGTTTTGTTTTCTCATCTGTAAAAGGAGAGACTTGAATTAGGATCTTTGATGCCCTATCAAGGTCTAAACGTTCTGTAATTCTAGCCTTTCTTTTTCCCCCCAGCTCTCAAAAATAATCTTTTTCTCAAAATAGTAATTACAGCCTTAGCTGACGTTTGTTCTCACTGGGTGTCAGGTACTGTGCTAAGAACTCTGCCTCCATTTTCTCTTTAAATTTCACAACACACCAGGGACAACTGTCTCTCATTTACAGATAAGAAAACGTGGACTTGACAGAGACTAAATGAACTACCCACGACCAACAGAATTAGTAAGCCTCAGGGGAGCGTACTGGCCAAGAAGACCTTGACCCAGTCTTTATTATTCTTGTGGAAGAAATAAGGCTCCCTGCATTACTCGTCATCTTTTTCCACGCGGAAGAGGGGTGGGGAGGGGAGGGAAAAAAAAAAAAAAAAGCCAAACCAACTCACATCAAGCCTCTGCAAGGCAAAACTGAAAGGGCGCCTGGGAGGATCCAGCCCAGACCCAGGGGGCGGGGCGCCCCTCCCCGCCAGCCACAGGACAGCGGCGTGGGCCACCCTACCCCCGTTACCTTGTTGAGATGCGGGTTCCTGGTGACATCGTATCCGCGCTTCTTCAGAGGCACCGGGCGAGCAGGGCCTGATTTGGAGTGGCAGCCTCGGGCGGGCGCGGAGGGCGTCCAGCGCGGGACTCCGCCACAAGCCCGGCCCTGCTGGAGCGCCAGCCGCGCGCGCGTGCCCAGCGCGGCGCCCATGGTCCTTGAGCAGACCTGGCACCGGGGAGAAACCAAGGTCAGGGGCGCCTGACGGCCAACAAGGAGCCACGCGCGCCGCAGAGCACCGGGTCTAAGCCCGGAGTGCGTCCTCGGGGAGAGGGCAGGGGGGCCTGAAGGGTGAAAGGCACCAGTTCGCCGCCCCTCCTCGGCTGCCACCTGCGCGGCTCTCCCGGCTAGCTTGCGGTGCGCAGGCCTAGCCAAGCCCCCGGCAAAGCGAAAGCAAGCCCAGGAGCCCAGGAAGCAGATCGGGTGCGGGTGACCGCTCGCGCCACCACCGCCCCCATCCCCGCGAGGAAGAGGCCACTACGTGGCGAGAGGCCCCCGAGCCTCCAACCTCGCTCGGTGGCTCGCCTGGATCCCTCCTTCCCCAGCCCACCTGTGCTGCGCCCAGAGCTGATGTCGCAGGCGGGGCGAGGCGCTGCGGTCCGCTGTTCCCCTCCTGCCAATGGCTGCACCGCACCCGCTGCCGCGGGAGCGCAGGGCTTAAGCGTTCTGGAAAGAGAGGTCCCCAAACCCTTTTTCGCAGTGCGGGACTTCCCCTGAAGACGCGCGTGGAGCGCCTCATAACCGTGTGCACGTGCCTCCCCAGTGACAAAATGAAGCTCAGAATGCCTCCTGAGCGTCTCCATCTTGACCAGCTGAAAGCACGGAGGGTGTTAGAGTTTAGGGAGTAACATGCCCTCCACTCACTCACCTTTGTGGGAAGGCCCTGGCTTTCGGATTCAAAGTTGAAATCCTCAGACACCCAGTGCTCAGTGTTGCTTTGCACTGCACAGTACAATAGTCATTAGGCACATGTGGCTCTATAAATTTAAATAAATTAATTTAAATGGAATAAGATAAAAAATCCAGTTCCTCAGTCACACCTAACCTCATTTCAAGTGCTCAAGAGCCACTGGCACATAGCAGCTTGGCATTGGATAGCACAGATACGGAACATTTACATCTTTGCGGTAAGTTATAGGGGACATCACTGGTACAGGGTCCACAGTTGCCAAAAGGGCTCCTGGGCACCCTTTGGAGCCAGGCATGGATTGCTGTGGACAGACAAGGACCTGAGGTCCATCTAGTCCTGAATTTAACTTTACACTTGACCCACATAGTAGCCAGGAGATTCCTTTTAAAGCAAACATTTCATTGTGTGTAGAATAAAATCCAAACTCTTTTTGATGCCTATGGGTTATCCCACAGCCTGGCTTCTGCCAACTTCTTCAGGTTCATCCTACTCCAGTCTCCCTCTCACTGCACTGTGGCCACAGTTGCTCCTTCCTGTGTTTCCACCCCATCCAATTCCTTCCCACCCCAGGGCCTTTGTACATGCTATCACCTCTTACAGTGTTCATTCTCTCCAATCTCCACAAAATTATCAACTGAAGGCCTTTCTTCCACTTCATCTAATGTCAGCCTCCACTAGGGACTATAGAGTGAATGGTTTTTCCCTTCACAGAACTTGCCACAGCCAGTAATTACCTCCTTTCTCTAATTGTTTATCGTCTGTCTCCACTCGGAATGTAAGCTTCATGTGGAAAGGCTCTTTGCCTGTAAACCCCTGTATCTTCACTTCTCAACTCAGGGTGTGGTACAAAATTGCACAATAAATAGTTGGGTGAATGAAGGAAAGGGACAGCCACTTTCATCAAGATTGGACTGGAAAGGAGACTGAAGGAGGAGATTCTTCCTGAGAGGAGAGGATCCTGAATCTAGGCAGGGGCAACAGCAGACACGGTGAACTCTTGAACTGCACATTTACATAAGCCCATGCATGATTTTTTAAAAACAAACCAGTTTGAGTCAGATTTTTGGTTGCTTACAACCAAGAGCATTAACTGATACTTTCCTCTTAATACTGTTTTTATATTTGTATGTCTTCCCAACAGTCAAGAAACATCTTGAGGGGGGAGATTGTGTATCTGGGTGTATTTCTGTCTTTGGTTCCTGACACATAGCAAATCGTCAAAACCTGTTTGTTGAATGAGCCTGCCCTTGCTTGATACAATGACCTTTCTCTCACCTGGAGGACATTTAATAGATAAACCTCAGTCATTCAAAACTGTGCTGGAAGCCAGGACAGAAACAACAAAGGTTTCCAAACAAGCCAATATAATTTTTTTTCACTAAAGCATGCACAGTTTACATCTGAGAGTCTCTCACATGTCCCCATCTGTGGGGCCTCTCCTTTCTTAACTCAGACGTAATTCTAGTAATATTGTTTTTCTTGTGTGTGTTTGATCTTTGGCCACAGGAAAGGAGAAGTGCTAGCAGCAGAAGGCCGTAGCAAGAAGAGGTGAGGGCTCTGCTCCACAGAGCTGTTCAGGGGCCCAGGTTCTTTCTCCAGGGGTTGTCCTACTCTGCCCAGAAGCACTGATACCACATGGGCTTCCCAGCCAGTGGAAAGGGAAAAAGAGGAAGCGAAGGGCCCTCCTTTAGGGAAGTAACGTGTAAGTTGCCCACATTACTTCTACTCACACTCTATTGATGAAAACTAAGTCACAGTCACATTAAGCTACAGGGAAGCCTGGAAAATATTGTCTGTAGTGGGAAAGGCACATATTCTACTACAAGGAAGAAGGGGAAAATGGGTTCCTGGGGACTAAAAACTACATGTCTAGATATAATACTCATTTTATATTACAGTGCTTGGCATGGAGTGGATACTCAGAAACTGTTAGCTCTTATTATTGGCATGCATGGTTTCCATCTCTGGTTTCAGGACAACTTCTTTACTTTTACAGCTGAACATAGGATTATAGAGACCAGGTGCAGAGCCATAGAAACTTTCCAGAACTTCTTCCAACTCCCTACAACTCTGACTTCCTTAGCTAGTCAATGCTGTGATCTGGTCCAGCACTAGATAAAACTAACGAGTCTCCATAATTTGTCTTGGCCTCTCTCCCTGCACGTTCCATTTACTGGCTTCTGCCATGGTTGTGATGCTGCTTCCTGGGGTGGCTGGAAAGGAATTGCATTCCCATCCTCTCTGGCCAGTTTCCATATTTCCAGTGCACTTAGTACCTTTGCTTTTCCATTTTGATTACCAAGATTTGCATAGCTATCCATTACCCTACCAGATTGAGCTCCTTGAGGGCTGGAACCACCATTTGCAATTCTTCGCATGTCCAATACCTGAGACAGTGCCTGGCATCAATAATGCATTCAGTTTGTTGAATTAAATAAAACTGATGTGAATCAAATGTGTGCATAACCTTCCAAGGAGTGGACTTGATTGAAACCAAATTTGGTGCATTGTTAAAAGGGCATCATAATAGCTTCAAATTAGCGTTTTAGCTCAGTCAGCTATCTTGAAACAAGACCATTTGTCTTTTGTAAGCAGATTTTAATGTCTTGATGTATGGGTTTAAAAAAATGAAGGTGCATTAAAAATTCATTAATTTTTGACTAATCCCATTGTTTCACAAATGTGTAGTATTCTACACAACATTTCATGTTCATGATTGCCCTAAAAGAACTCTTTAATTCACATTGCTGCTAGTAATATTTGGAGATACTTCAACTCTACTGTTTATGCCAAAGGAGAATGGTGAGGAACATTTATGTCCTTGTCCTCAGGCTTGGCACACATGCCCTGCACTCTGGGACTTAGCTCAAGTAGTTTCCTCTGCTTCCGGCACTTGCCAGTTAGACCCCATCCTTCCTCCCCAGCTCCGCTCAAATACCACGTCCTCCAGCAGGTAAGTCATCCCAGATTCCCCAGCCCGCAGCAGCTTGCCCTGCCTCCTGCATGGTCCTCAAACTGTTTTTTGCATCTGTCCTATTGCACTTTTATAGTCTGTCTCTCTGTGAAGTAATTGACTCACGTGCTGGTCTTTTCTGATCCTCAAAGGGGCTCATAGAAGTAAAAGCAACAGCTTTGCATTCAGACAGTCTTGACTTCACCAGTGACAAACTTCTATAACCTTGGGCACTTTATGTGACCTCCATTAGCCCCATTATCTTCATGAATAAAACTGGGATTCTAATATTACTTCCTACATTGGTTTTTGGTGGGTTAATGTATTTATTTGTTTTTTAAAAGCACATTATAATGAACTTCCCACATGCCAGGCACTGTTCTAGTGGTTTATAAATATCAACTCATGTAATGTCATAATATTTTTATGAAATACTGAGCTTGTTATTAAACTATTACTCTCAGCTCCAGATCTACCTTTGTATCCTCTGGTTTATCGCTGGTGCTAGGACTCTGCAAACGAGTTCTTCCTTGGCAGCAAGTTTCCTATTAATTTCTGCCAATAGGGGCCACTCAAGAGAGATGGAAGGCCAGAGGGGAGGCATTTCCTCCTTTTCGCTGGGCTTGCTTTTTTTTCCTTTCAGTAACCCCCACGCCCCACCCGCCACCCCCCCAACCACCCAGCATCAGCGGCTGATCCAGCCTCCACTGTCCTCCCACATTCTGAAACAAAGCCTCACAGGCCCCCACAAACTTAGCAGGTCTTTTCCTCCACCGGTCTAGTTTCTTGGTTGTTCAGGCCTCTTCCCTTTGGTCCTCCAGCCTTAGAGGTGGGAGCTGCTCGATCTCTGGTTACCCCTCTGTGATTGCCTCAAAACTCCCTTCCCTCTCATTCAGCCCTGGAGCACCTGTGAAACCAGTTCTTTCTGTTAAATTTCTTTTGTTGAGCGACACTTAACTGGAATCTGGTCTTCCTGACTGGACCCTGCCTGATACTAGCACCATTATTATCTCCATTTTACAGATGACAAAATAAAACCTGGAGAAGTCAAATAACTCACTGAAGTGGACCAGGATTTAACCCAGGCTCCAGAGGTCCTGGCGCTCATCAGGACACTAAAGGCTTACGTTTGGGAAGCGCTCAGCGAGGCCTGGTACAGGTGAGCACTAAATGTACTGTGGCCATCTGATCCCCAGTTATCATCTTCATTGTTAACTCAGCAGCCTTGTATCTTACACCACACCTAACACAGGGTTGTTTGCGACAAATGCCTGCCGGACCGAATTTGATTCACCTGAATAGGGAAGGCCAAAGTGGCGCAGAGGGCCCGAGTTAGAAACTCCTCCTTTGGAGTTGTTTTCAGGGTGACTGACTCTTCCTCTCTTCTTTTTCCTCTCTTCACCTCCCTGCCACCCTCCACTTGCTTCATCAAGCGGGAATAAACAGTTCCTGGACATTCTGAAAATGCCACAAGGGGAAATGAGACGGTAATTTGGTTGGGTAAGAGAAGAAAACATGTTTCTTATTTTTCTATTTCATTGCATTCTGTTGCCCTATTCTATTGCACTGCCCTCATTTTTAATACCTAATTTTCACAAGAAAAGGATATCTTTGAAGTACCCACATTTCTCATAGAGGTGGCCACCAGACTCCATTATCCCTGCATCCTGTTATCACAAAAACACTTTGAAATCCTTGTTTATAAACCCATTCAGGCTTCTACTTAAGTAGGTGTGGTACCACATGTAATTTTGCTTCCAGAGAGAAGGGTACAGCATACTGCATTTCCTTCTCATCAGACTCCCTGCCTGATTCTCGTTTACTTCCACACTAACCCTCAAC